TTTGCAACAATAGATTCCATGACTTTGGACAACACTGGAAGGAGAGTGACGGGTCGGTATCTGGCGTGGTCACTACGGCATCCACCTTGGTAAATTGGTGAAATGACACCGTTTTTTCCACACCTGAGGGAGCACGGTATGTTCGAACAGTTTTTGGTATAGCTCACTCAAAGGATCGGCTATGTGATGGGTGATAATGGCTTGTGGCTGAATGGTATCTAAACCCGGTGATGAGTTCTCCTTCAAAGCTAGGAGCTTTGCCTTTAACCTTTCGAGAGAAAAGATAATTTAATAATAAAATCACAGTTACTTGTGAGTAGTGGGTGTGGGATGATCGATATTGATTGGTTTGACTGAATATCCTTCGGATTCAGTGGTAACGCACACACCTTCCATGCGATGGGGCCGGAGTTCAAATCCCGGACAGGACGGTGGATATGCACTACTGATGAGCTTTAATAAGAGTGAAACTCGAGTTTAGTGCTTCCGACTGTATGGTTGGATCGATGAGCTGAGGATTGTGCTTGAAGATGAAGTCCGAAAGATGTTCAGTCAAATTAATCAAGAAAAGATATGTCCGTCAGTAATGGGTAACAGCAGCCACGAATGTTGTGATGCAGTTAGTAAATTTTCTCCAGGATTTCAGGGGATCGCAGCCTTGTTAGGACGGAGCGCACAAAATCCGTCCTGCCACGCAGCGACGCATGTCACACCACAAGTGCGCTCGTGACGCTGAAGCCGAATCGACTTGTGATTGGATGACTAAGGCGAATCAAATAGCTGTCGTCCGGTCGATCAACCTGATTGTCACCGTCACGATCTGACTGGTGCGTCACCACGTCTGCTCGCGTACGCCCAACTGACCACATATATTTGCTTGTTCTTTCATGATCGAGAATACACTGTGACTGTCGTTTTCTCAGCAGTGTTTTTTCTCCTGTTGTTGGGGCCTAGGTACGAGGTGTATTTATCGATCACATCGTCTTGACACAAGACATAACAAGCCTATATCATGGGAGTTCCACTGGATTCCATCAGCCAAATTGTTTGGTCTTGCGTAGTCATTTATGCTGCGAAAGCGATCCGAGGGAGCTGTTATAACTGATGCATAGCAAACGTATTCGAATAACAATACAGCGTGATTACTGCGCCCCAACGGATTTGCGATTGCAATTACTTCGACCATCGATTCTTCAGTAAGAGATCCAAAGTTGACGAAATTTGGTTCGTTCTAAACCTGGTGGGTTCCTTTACATGATTGTGCAACGAATGTGACCGGGTGAACTGCTTCAGCTCTCGTTCAAATGGCGTACACAATGTAGTCCCGTTACTCAGCTTTAGACAGTTGAAGTCACCCACAACAAGAACGTGGGTGAAATTCAGTGACAAGAAGTAAAACATTGTTTGCAACAGAATCTCATTTGATGAATCTACTGACGAAGGAAGGCGATAAACTACACCGATCAGCCCGATATCATGTTTTGTTAGCTTCAATTTCCACCATAACGTATCTGAAGCAGTGAATGGGCACTCAATTTGCTCGAATGCCAAGCTGTTATGATAGTAGAGCAACACCTCTCCACCTCGCGTTGGACGATCACGCTTCAATGATGGAAATAAATGGCAATTACTATTTACCGGATTATGAAGGTATTTACTGATCAGATGATCCGCTATTTAGATAAACATGGAAATAGTAAAGTTTAATTTAAAGTTTTAGTATGGGAAATACTTACAAGCGGTTGCCTTTCTAGTCCTATAGGATTTGACAAAGATGAAACGGTTCACAGTTCATACAAATTAGATGAATGTCACAATTTGTCCTTGTTTCGTGAGCTTATACGAATGTCGAAATTTGAGACTTTTCAAAGCTTCATCCAGATTGTGCTTGAATGAATCAATTGTGGCGCAGCGACAACGTAAGATGGTAGAGAATTCCAAGTAATGCACACTCTGAGTGCGAATGAATGACGCCGGCCTTCTGGTCGGACTTTTTGGACCACTAATTTGAATGAGTGCCCCCGCAGGTGAATGTTGGGCGACAAGGAAAAGAGTGGACGACATGGACGGTCTGAGTTCTGCATTATTTGGTATACCAAGATCAAGTCTCCTCGAATGCGGTGGTACTGTGTGGAGTACAGTTGCAGTGATTCCAGCCTTTCCGCATAACTCTTGGAATGCAGTCCTTTGACCATTTTGGTAGCCTTTCTTTGTGGACATTTCAGAATATTTTGATAGCGTTGCAACCACGGATTCCATGCTTGAATGGCGTACTTTGTGTGGGGTCGAATGTAGGCTGATAACAATCGTAGGAACAGCGTAGGTTGAAATTTGCCAAATACTCGTTTTAGCAAACCAACGTGTCTTACAGCGGTAGACGATGCCAGGGAGCAGTTTAAAGAACAGCTTAGGTCGTCTTAAACGATGACGCCGAGATCCTTCTCATTCGAGACGTACGGAAGTTGTTGATCGAATGCTTTGGAGAAGTCGAGGTACATGACGTGCACTGCATCACCGTGATCAGCTGCTTTTGTCCACTCTTCTCGGGCCAGAAGCAAGTTAGTGGTACACGATCGCCTTCGACGAAACCCATGTTGAGCAGGGGATAACACGTTGTATTTTTCCCAATGATTCGTCACATTGTCTGCCACAATGGATTCTATGACTTTGGATAATACTGAGAGGAGAATAACGGGGCAGTATTTAGCTGGATCACTACGACAACCGCCCTTGTATATCGGAGCGATTATCCCTTGTTTCCATGTTTTTGGGAGCGCAGTTTTGTTGAACATTTGTTGGAATAGTTTGCTTAGTGGTTGAGCTAAGTTACTCGCCAGGTTGATAAGGGTTTGTGGATGGATATTTTCTACCCCTACAGATGAGTTTCTTTTCAAACGCTGCAGTTTCGATGCAACGATTTCTGGGGGGAAATCAATTGTATGGAGCACTGGTTGTGATGTATCCTCAAGTAACACAGGCAGTCGTAGTCCGGTGTTCACAGGTGCGGTGAACACTTGAGCGTACTGACGTTTTAGCATTGCAGCTCCCTCCTTTGTTGTGACTGAAACACGTTCTGCCACCCTTACCGCTGGAACACCAGACTTAACTTTCAGGTGGCATTTATGTGTTTGTACAACAGCTTAGGATTTGATATGAACTTGCGCATGAGCATTCCTTGGCGTATTAACTTGTCTTCTCGCGCCAACTTGGTGCAGTAGTTTCGGAGTTGACAGTAGGTATACCATATGTTGTAGCAAGGAGATCGTTTATAAGCTCACCATGAGGTATTCCTCTACGAAGTCCACTTTTTTGACCAACTTCGAATTGCTGATCTTTGACCAGTTGAGTAGGTGATGCGCTTGGTCTTCGTCGTGCCTTTCATCATTTTCGTCAAGCGGTTTGTAAATTCTTCCCAGGATACCAGGGGATCACACTGTTCGTTGAGAAATTTTCATTGGAAATCTCTCGCCAAAATTTGAAGTTTAGTGTAGTCAACAAACATACACGAGCTAACCGCGGAATTGTGCGGTACGGAAGCATAGCAAATGTAGTCAAACGTCAGTAGGACTAGTCAAGAAAGGTATTGTGCTCTACAGAGGTGGGTTTCATTCAGCTTGTGTATTTACACATGGGAAGTTGTTTTGACTCACCGAAGCCGACTATTTTATTTGTGCTGCTTTATGTGAGGTTGTGACAATAAAAGTATGGCAGCACAACCAGTGTCGCCACAGAGTAAGAAGAGAAATTGAAATAACTTTTAATGCGCTTGTGTTCAGTTTGACTTTTTTGTCTCGAAACCATTCCCTTTTCTTCCTAATGCATTTCGATACAACCGCCAACAAATTTAGTAAATGGAAGACGTGTCACTTTGACAAAATAAGCCTATTTTCAAAAATCGGATGCACCATTTCCCTGATGTGCGTTTCCCTGTGTGAAAACATTAGAAAAAGTAGTCAAGTTTCGTACGACTCGAGACATATTATAGTTTCCTTGATTTTATTACCTGTCAAATTCAGGGCTTCTGTGCAATGCAACAACTAACTGAGGTATAGAATTCGCTTGCAGCTGGTTAAGCATAGCGGAAAAGAACCGAAAGTAGGATAACCGCGGTCATTTGATCTTTTTGTAAGGCTCCTCGAGCTTCTTATCGCAATAAACAAAAACCAAAAGCATAGGGAGGTGTGAACGTTCCTTTTTTCAAAATATACAAATCGTACACATCATTGTAACAATAAACTTAATACCGAAATTACGACCCGAAACAGTTCAAATCTACCGGAACATTGACGTCTGTCCTCATTCGAATACAAGAAGCAGGTTCCAAAAGCTGGATGAGGGCAGAGAATTCGTGAATGCAACGTGCGATCTATTGAAATGAAGCGAGCCTAACGCAAACTTTGAAGGAGTTGTTTTCTTTGCTGGTCCAATAGTTCTTCCAAATGTTCCACTCGTCGGTTGGCCTGGTCCAACTCGGTTACTTGTTTTTCCAATTCCCTTTCAAACTGGCCACGCATTTGATTGGTCTTCTCATCTTTTCGTTTCATTGCTTCCTTTATTCTAAGATAAAGAGTACAAGAATACAAATCGTGTTTAGATCACTGAAAAATCTCCGTCGCCGACTGGAAGTTACGTTGAGATAAAAAAGCACTGAAGTGAAACGGTAATGCGGATATGTCCTTTGACTGGATTTACTAGAAGAGAATATATTCTTCCGAGATAAATGCGGTATTTGTAGATATAACCAACTAAGTTGACCAATTTACACATTATTCGTAAAAATCCGCCTTCATGGGAAAATCATTTTTAGAGGGACAATTCGTTCTTATTGGTTGAGAGTGTGAATGGTCAACCGAGAACTTGATGCAGAGATAATTTAAAAGACGAAAATTCTGTAATGCTTTCTGACTATAATTGCTGCACAGTCAAATCAGATCGAAATGAATGAATTTAATGAATACGACTAATGAGCGATAGAATAATTACCGATAAATAATTCGCCTTTTGCATCTACGTAATTGTTCTGAAAGGATTTTAATACTTGCCGTACATGTCTCGTTTCGTACTGTTAAAACTAAACAAAGTGGGATTTAACAACACCTTTGAAAGCTAAAATTTAACACAGGGATAAATTTTATTATGCTCTGTATCTTTTCACAAATATCGATTTTCTTATTCCGATCTTTGAAAGCCTGATTGGGGTCGCAGTGGGTGTTTTCGGTTGTAAATGATCATTCTTCCCGTGCACCTAAAGACATGCATTCCATACGACAAAATCAATCACTGATGGGTAAGCTCTTCTTATTGTCTTCCCGTGACGGAGGTGTTTTCTCATCAATGTCAGAAGATGCACAGTTGATAGTCAGTGAACAGCACCGGTAAACCGTCTACGAAGTTTGGTAAAACACCTGATTCCAAATCAAACACCAATAGGTGTAAAAAGCAAGCCCCTAACTTCCTATACTTGGCTGTGATTACCGGATTGGTTGAACATCGAGGTGTATTGGGTGCCTTGGACGTCTGTTCCTGTCCAAATGGTGTATGATTCGATGAAATGGACACTGGCCCAAAATGGATTGCTGTCTTCACACACCACCAAGCTGCCTTGACTATCAGATCTTGGCTAACCAAAGGCATCGGTTGTGAATTGCCCTTAGAAACTCACTCGCTTTAGCTTGATCGCTGCAGAACACCGATAAGTCAAAAACTGATTCCTCTGTTCAAAAATGGCTCCGATATTTGTTTTATAACGTCCGAACTAAGACGCATTTGAAATAAAATATTAAATTCGATGTTTATTCTTCAATGGAAGACTCATACTCTCAATAACAAATATCTTTCTCACTTTTGATGAACTGACTTCAGCTCTTCTGCATTTGCCTTTCTCAATGCTGCTAAATCTGTTTCATGACGTTCTTGTTCCTTGGACAATCTTGCTTTTGTTTCGGCCAATTCACGTTTTGCGGTTCGATTCTCTTCCTCAAGCGTGACCAGACGATCGGCGAACTCTTGCCGAACTACGTCGGATAGGTTCTGACGTTCTTGATTAAGTTTCTCATATAGTGCACGAATCTCATGCATCTCCTGTTCTCGCTGTTGTAACTGTATTCGTAGTCGATCGCATTCCTGTTCTCTGTCCAACAGCTTTGTCTGAATGCAAATAATAAAGCGGGACAGGGTTGGTGCTCAGTGCACGGAGATAAAGTGAGTGGAATCTGTTTGCTTCTAACGCTACCTTTTCTCCTCAACGCTTGTGCTACATCTGTCAACGATGAAGATTACTCGACTGCATTTATGAAACAGACAGAAGTATCAAGATGCCCGTTCTTCGTATTCACGGTTTTTATTTACCACCATAGATGTTCCAAAGTTCATGTAACCTATATGATCAGTGGCTTGAATGATAATGCCTGATAAACTCGCTCCATAGCTGTAGGTATCCATATAGTAGTTAAATACATGCGCATAAAAGATGCTGACACGAAAATAACGGTGGTTTATTTCAATCTTGATTGTTCCTGTATTGAACATGAGAGTGCATCATGGGATGCGAAATAGACTTACTTGTTCTTATCCAATATGCATTAATTTTATGAGTTGACTATACCGTGCTTCTGAATCGAAGGTAGATTTTTGCATCCATACGTTATGAAAAAGGAGAAGTAAGAAAATCTTTGAGATGGAGTGGTGTGTTGATGAACAACTAACATTGGTTGCCTGTTAAGTTTATCGTGTTCAGACTCTGATCGGTGCTCTGACTCGGCGCTGTACATGTCAACCTCAAGAAACTCATATGCTGAAGTTGTTGTGCGTCAGCCGTGTAGCTCACTGGTCAGAATCTAAACTGGAAATGCCGAAAGTTAGCAGTTCAACTCTCAAGCGGGTTATGTAATTGACAAGCATATGTGATTGGGCGGTGGTGATGATGAAACTATCTCCCGACTAACATAGGTCATTGTTCCACATCGGCCCTAAAAGTACTTGTTTAAACATTGGTTCGATTGCCTAGAACGGAAATAACCAAAGGTTCAATGCCACTTCAGTGCCAAAAATGTTACCACATCTGAATACATCCCCGAGTGTTTATTTGTATTTGGCCTGACACTCAAATTGGCCATCTGACGGAAGGCATACCAAAACGGATCATTCGATCAACGGTTTAATCAGTATTGATGCATCAAAAAACCAAGAATCAGGGTCTTTTTTATTGGAAATCATTGGACCGTCAGGTTAACTTAATGCACTCATTCAACGTACTGTACTGAAGTTGCTTTTCAAAGTGTTGGATTATTATTCTCGACAGGTAACCTCTGCGTGTCTGTAAAGTTCCGTTAAGTTACAACACTAATCTGCATTGTCTGCAACCTGTTGAGTCCTCCCTTTCCCCGTATTCAATTGCGATTTTAGTCGAAGAACCAATGACCCTGATTCTACTTATATTCACGCATGCTGCGTTTGCGACCGATGAGAGCACTACAAAGTGCTTTTGTTTCCGAATATTCGTTTTCTTTCTGTACACAGGGATTGGAGTATCAAGACGCGGTGGATCCATCCTGTAATCAACTCAAACTCAGTTTCCTAAAAGGTAGTCAAAAGTAGTATTAAAAAGAAACGCATGCCTTTACTGTGCGCTGTGTCAGATAGTTATATTCAACTTTGCTCTGCATCTCTTACCGGGTCTCATTTGGTTGAGCGATGTACTGAATGCAAATAGACCTAATTGAAGAAACGTCGAAAAAGTTAACTCGGTGATGCTTTTGGAAATAAATGAGCAACGTTAAGGACGAAGCAGTACGAACAACTTTCTGGCGCTATGAGTATTTAGTTAGGGTGAACATCGTTCAAACTTCAGCCTCACGCATAGTTCGCAGATCGTACAGACAAGCGTACATTCGGGAAGCACTAGAGTCCAGTTTCACCCTCATTAGAGTTCTTCTGTCATGCATATCCACCGTCCCGTGAGGGCTTTAAGCCCCACCCGTTCGCATGTGAGGCTAGTGTATCACCATGCCAGATTGACTAGGATTGCCAAATCATGTTTGTTCATGTGTTGTCTTCTATCAATGCATTTTCGGCTCAACAGTGACGGACGGGTTACATTTGACTACATGCAAATTCTCGCAAAATCGGGTTCTCCATGCAGGTTCGGACGGACGCGCCAAAACAAATAACCAACGCAATTTCGATTTTCTCACAATACTTCTTACAAGCAACACTGACTATTTATCCATGTATGAAACGACCGTTTTTCCAAAATCAAACATACGTGTTGTTAAATGTGGTACGACTTTTGTTAGGACTATTATTCTCAACGTATCGATGAGGTTTCAGATAGTTTTACTATCTCTTTCATCGGACAGTAATACGAAAACGTTTGCAAAAAGATCAGGTGTGGAGTACAACTGAAAGCAGTTGGAATAATCCTATTTGAGAAAGATAGCCCTGGTTACCACCAACCTTCATTTCGCAGTATTTTTCCATTGCTTGTCGTTCGGAACGTTCCAGTTCAGTGATTTCTGCTCCGAATTTCTCACGAATACGTCTTGGATGGATTTGTAAAAGGGTAACACATTCAAAGCAAAAAAGGGTGGAAATAATCGTATTGGTATTTTCAGTCTCTGATCAGCTAAAAGTTTATTGAATTCAAGTCAAGATTTAGTCCCATAAAAATATTTTCAATGTCTCCCATATTTTAAGATCGTAAACTGTTTTTGGGGTGGTCCCGCTTTAAACCGTATCCTTTTTAGAAAAGTGTAATACCAGCCAGATATTTTGTTCGTAAACTGTGCCAATGGTATTGTAGCTTACACACGGAATTAAGTAGGTTAACTCCGGTTCGATTATTGTATATTTTGTTTAGATCGAGCATATGATGGACAGTGATTCAGTTTTCCCAATATTTACCAAGTCCCATAACACATACAGGGCTGTTTGAATTAAAACACTAACAGAAGCCTAGGCTATTATCGTCCGCTTGTTAAAGCTAGAATCATGTGCTCAAAAAACAGTTTCTCTGCCATTCAAACTTCATGGCCCAAAATGGACAACATGAGCGTGTTGACGACCTCGATCAATTACCATTGCTTACGCAACCCGTTCTAATCCGAACACGAGACAATCTTGTTCCTTTGCTAGCATTATTTGATCTCTACTCTTTGACCCCAACACATCACCCTCTCGTGATATTCCCACATAAATGTGATTGGAATGGCTTGAGAACGAAATCACCGAAAACATGTTCGCTTGGGAGGTGAGCTTATTTATTGTATCGCCCGATCAATGAAGAGAAAATTTTCGGACAATTCCCTGTATCGCATTGCTGACAACAATTTAGGTGAGATTCTGATTAAAGACCTGATGTGGGACCTCAATGTTCATTTTGAATGTTCCCGCATAGATGTGTCTTGCAAGATTCTTATGGGCAATGCTTAGCTCGTGTATCATATTTGTTCTCGACTTAAATCGTTTGAAGTCCTCAAACTTCGGCAAGTTCTCCCGCGAATAGCAACGACTCTATAGGTGGCTTGTGTATCAAGACGATTAAATGTCTTTTTCGTTAGAACGGTTGCACAAAGATTTTCTTGGTGGAGCATTTTTTCAGTTCAACGCACAAATACATATTCTGGCTATTTATTTTTGCAACAACCACTTTGTGCCTCTTAAGTATTCAGAATAGGAATCGAAATCGAATAGCGCGAACTCGGAATCGGACTGAAAACCCACTGATTAGCGCAAAGCCAGGTAGAACCAAGGTGAGCTGCAGATACAGTGAATTCTATTAAGAAAATCTTGGAAATATATATTACAGGCAACAAACAATCATTGGTCGAATCTTGAATGTCCATTCGAC